AAAATAGCTGCAGCAACTTCAAGCATTATCACACAACAATATCAAAAGACCAGAAAGTAGAAAGAGCGTCTATTCTTCATCTTTCTTCCTTTCTCCTTCTTTCAGCTGTGGTAAAAAAACAAAAAACATACACACAAACGTAGCAAAACATTTGCCATTTCAACATTTTTTACATGTACAATTCAGTGACATTATGTTCATTGTGTGATGCAACCCTTACCATCATGTCTATATATAAGAGCAAAGAAAATGTCCATAAAAAGATGGATACTGTATGACCTCGCTTACAAATATATACGAACCAAATATGATTAGTGGTTACCAGGAGGGAGGAGAAAGGGGAGTTTTTGCTTAGAGGACCTTGCTGTATGTTAATGGTGGTAGAATAATTTAGAAAAAAAATAGTATTTTTGTTGTGCATATTTTTTACCATTAACAACAACAACAAAAAAAGATTAAGGGAACTTTCCCAGAATCCCCCCACAAACTTCCCCTCATTGGGCAGACTTGCAACATATGCCCTTGCCTAAACCTATCCCAGGCAAGGAGAGTGGAATTAGCATTGTTGCCCATTTATTGAATGGATTAACGTCTATGGGAGACCAGCAGGAAATGATTGTCTCTGACCACTGTATTCAAACATGCTTTCCTACTGATGACCTTTTAGTCAGACTCTTAGCTCTCCAGCTATTTTTGTTTAGAATTGCTTCAGTAATTATTACTTATTTTTAGGGATTACAAAATTCAATCCACTTTACCTCAAATTTCCAATCTCACATCCATTCCTTAGCATATTTTTTCCTCTCTCCCTGCAGCCCCCAGCTCAGGTTTGATCTCAGAATTGAGGTCCTGCAGTAGAGAAGAGGCATAGCCTGGTCGTTCACTTTTTCCTCCACTTCCTTCCCCTTCTGGTTTTTCTGATGTCAGAACAGGGCATTAGAAGAATTAGAGGAAAAAGGACAAAGCCTTCAGTCACCAATGCTGTTATAATTCCACTACTGGTATCCTCTGTGTGGCAGGCACCCACATTCTTGATCATATGCTACCTCTTGAAAAGCATGGGCCCATGTTTGTCTCTTTAGAAGCTCTGTGTGCACCTCTGTCTGTCTATTAAGGAAGGCAGCTCTCTTTAGCTGACCTCCTTAGCTCCTGCAGGCCACCCACAACCTCTTACTTTGGGATCAAATCCCCCAGAGGGCTGTCCTCTTCCATGAAGAACCTCTCAAGTGGCTCCAGGCCTGCTGCCTTCCACACTGTCCATTTATCCCACAGGAAATGCACACATCCATGCTCACCAAACCAGGAAAACAGGGCCCCTTGAGGCTGCCCTCTCTTGCCATCACAGGCTGCTTTTAGAGTTCCCCAGCTGAGAAACAGGTTCTGGTCTCCAAGTCTGAACTTTGAATTGCCCCTGGGCTCCTGCTAAGCTCTTCCATGAAGTGCCTCCCTGAAGGGGTCGTGAAAAATTCTTATTCTTTTTCAGCTCAGGAGTCCAGTCTAGGAATGAAGAGCAAGTTTCTTCTTCCTGAAGCACAATTCTCTGACATGGCAGTCCCCTTGGAGCCCCTCACTTGGTGTGAGGAAAGGAACACTTGTCCTTCCCCCTAGCTTCCTATTCCAACAGCTTCTCTCTACTTTCCCAAACTGGATTTCTGGTCTTCACTTATGTGGATTGGAGTCCCAGTGTGGTGCTGTAGGATAAGCTCTCAACTACAAGGTCAGTTTGAATCACAATGACCAGGCTTCAAACTCACCAGCCACTCCTCTGTAAACCCTATACAGGGTTGCTATGAGTCAGAACTGACTCTATGGCTCTTAACAACTTAGGTAAACTGGTTGGGGTAGAGGGGTGGGAGATTAGCTTTGCTTTATTTGTAAACCCAGAGAGTATACCCACAGCTCCCAGGGACACGGTCTAGAATATAGGGTATCTGTTGTTGTTAAGTGCTGTCAATTTGGTTCCAATGCATAGATACCCTTGTTGTTGTTAACCCAAAGAGTAGCTGGTAGGTTTGAGTCACAGACCTTGTGATTAGCAGCTCAGTGCTTATCCTACAGCGTCACACCAGGACTACACAGGTATCTGTTGTTATTAGTAAGTGCTGTCAAGTGGGTTCTGACTCCTAGGTCCCTGAATAGGGTTTTCTAGAAGGAGTTGGTGGGTTTGAACCACTGACTTTGTGATTTAAACCGACTTTGCTGTCCAGCGCTTATCTTACAGTGCCCCACCAGAACTCTGATAGGTATCTAAGTATCAACTATTGTCCTCAGCTTGAGTCTTTGACTAAAAGACCAAGGCCATAGGACACTCCTTTTCAATGTCCTTTTATACCATGATTGGGTTAAGCAGATCTAGATTTACCCCCCAGGGCCAGGGCAAGACCAGACCATTGCCCTTGAACAAAACCCAAGTTGTGTTAGCAAGGAGGAAGACTGAAAAATCTGTTGGGTGGCACCAGACAGGGTTTGCAACAAACCTGTATGACTAGGTAGAGCCAGCCATGTGAAGAATAGGAGGAGGAGGAGTGCTCCTGGCAAGGGGAACAGCTGAGGCAAAGACCTGAGAGGAGGAATCAGCTCGGCATGTTCAAGGAACAGCAAGAGGCCTATGTAGGTGAATGTGGTAGGCAAAGGGCAGAGAACATGAGATCATTTTAGCAGGTGGGTTAGGTTCTGAGGGTCTGTCTTTGTTGTTGTTAAGTGCTGTCGAGTCAGTTCCTACTCATAGTCACCCTGTAGTGGGTTTCTGAGGCTATAAGTCTTTGTGGGAGCAGAAAGCATCATCTTTCTCCCATGGAGTGGGCTCAAACCATCCAACTTGTGGTTCTCAAGTTCTACACCAACTTGTGTACCTATTCTACAAAGTCACTAGATCCCCCGAGGGTCTATGTTGTTGTTGTTGTTAAGTGCTGGTGAGTCAGTTCTATCTCATAGCAACCTTGTATAGGATTTCCGAGGAGTGGTTGGTGGGTTTGAACCACCGACCTTGTGGTTAGCAGTCCAGTGCTTATCCTACAGCGCCACCCTAGGACTCTGAGAGTCTATGTTGTTATTTGAGTCGACTCCAACTCATAGAGACCCTGTATAGAGTTCCTGAGGAGCAGCTGGTGGGTTTGAACCTTGCAGTTCGAAGTCCAGTGCTGATCTTACAGTGCCACACCAGGAGTCCACAGACCATGATAATTAGGGAAGTAGGATTTTATCCTAATATGGTAGGAAGTCAGGAGTGTTAGTGTGGTGCTGTGGCACTTAACAACAACAACAATGGTAGGAAGTCATTGGATGGTTTTAATCCGGGAAGGGACATGATCTGATTTATGTTTTGACAAGCTCGCTTTGGCTGCTGTATGAAAATTGAAGTATAAGGTGGACAGGAGAGGAAGTAGGGGGACTAGTTAGGAGGCTATGGTCCAAATGAGAGATGATGGGCTCTACGAGTCGGTGGCAATATGGAGGGAAGTGTAAGGTTTGAGATTTGCATTAGCCACCATTGAGCAAACACACCATCAACACAGGAATCTTCTAGGTTCCCTGACCAACTTACGTTGTTCCTTCAGCCTGGAATGCCATCTGCTCCTCCTAACAACACTTACTCATCTCCCAGGCCCAGCTGACACATCATCTCCTTTGTCCAGCCTTCCCAGCCCCACCCCTCCCTGAAGAAATGCCCACTCCCTCCTTGGCTCTTTATAAGCACCTCCCTTGTGCACTTAGCACATCGTACTGTAGTCATTTGTTTACTCATCTGTCTCTCTCCCTGGATTATGAGCTTCTAGGAGCTCACTGTCTCCTTGCAGCGACCACAGGGAGACACATGTGAAACTGCTAAAATATACCAGGTGGTACATAATTAAGAGAGAACATGGTAGCTCTGTAGGATAAGCACTGGGCTTATCCACCACGAGGTCGGCAATTCGAGTCCACCAGCCACTCTGTGGGAGAGAGATGAGGCTTTCTGCTCCTGCCAAGATTTACAGCCTTGGAAACACTATACTGTGAGTTGTGAGTTGAAACTGGCTCAATGGTACTTAACAACAACAACAGCATGATTAAGGGCTAACATTGTTGTTAACTGTCATTGATTTGTTCCCAACTCATAGTGACCCTATATAGGGTTTCCTAGGAGTGACTAGTGAGCTTGAACCGCTGACCTTGCGGTTCAAACTAACCTTGTAGTTCAGAGCATTAACCTACAGCACCACACCAGGACTCCAAGGGCTAACATGTGGGACAGAGATTGTTCGTGTCAGAGCACAGGGTACGTCGAGATGGTCTCTGGCCTTTCTTCTGACTGCTCTGAGCACCAGTACCTGTTTCTGGAATTTTCCTTTTGCTCTCTCTGCACTCTCAGAACCTGGGGTAAGTGTGAACTCAGCATCACAAAGTGTTGGTCTCCTTCCCTAACACACATGCTCATAGAAGCATACAAAGTCAACCATTCACTGGACTTCAATCTCTAGTCATCTCTGCCATTACCTGCCAGAGGCTGGCACATAGTTGAATTATATAATGGCTGTTGAATGAATCAATGATGAATAAATAAATGATGGGCCTAGAAGGTGTGTTGTTAATTGCCGTCAAGTTAGTTCCAACCCCCTGTATAGTGTTTCTGAGGCGCAGCTGGTGGATTTGAACTGCCAACCTTGCGGTTCAAACTGACCTTGCAGTCCAGGTCTAGTGCTTATCCTATAGCACCACACCAGGACTCCAGAAAGTCTATTGTTGTTGCTGTTAAGTGCTGTTGAGTCAATTCTGAGAGTTTCCAAGGAGCAGCTGGTGAGTTTGAACCACCAACCTTGTGGTTCAAACCAACCATGCAGTCCAGTGCTTTATCTCACAGTGCCACACCAGGACTCCAAGAAGGTCTACAGTCTGTGTAAACAGGGACAAGGGCAGGAGGGTGGTTCCAGAAGGAATTGTGTTAGGTGGGGTCTCTGATAGACATGGTGGGTGAGGCAGCTTCCTCACTTGCCATGCCCCCTCCTGGGCTCTCCTGACAGGCTTAGGGGCCATAGGATGGGGGACCTCCCCTCACATCCGCTGTGCCAGCCTCCTGATAATACCCAAGATGCTGGGCAAAGAGGGCAGGCTCTTTGTGCTGGGATACGCCATGGCCGCTATCTATGAAGGTGAGTGCATGTCCCTGGGTGCTGGATAGTTGGCATTGCAGAAGTGACCCTGGGTGGGCCATTCACTGGGAACCAGGCTTGGTGAAGGTGAAAGGTAGGATGCAGAGCCTAGGTTCTTATCCTAGCAGCTTCAACCTGCTATAATCCCCTGAGAGAATTCCTCTTCCCTCTGGGCCTCCCTCCTTTGCACCGGTGAAAAAACCAGGAGTTGAATTAGATGACCAGACACAGGTTTTTCAGCCCCATCATTGTTCAGTTCTAGTAGGTGGTCACTCCAGAGCAGGAGCTGGGGGAGGGCTTCACAAAGTAATGGCTCCAGGGGGAGGCAATCCACCAGGGCCTCTTCCCACAGGGCCAGTGACCAACCTGCGTTACAACCTCAACGAAGTGATAGCATCGCTAGGCTGTACTGTGGAGCTGCAAATCAACAACACCCGAGCGGCCTGGCGTACCTCCACAGCCCCCCTGCGGGCATTGTTCAATGACCTGCTGGTCAGGAGCCCCCATGGGCAGGGCCTCCGATCCCTCTCCCTGGGGGTCAAGTTGACTTGAACTGAGGAGTTAAGATCCTAGATCTACAGTTTCCCAATGGGGCATTTTTTCAGGCCTGTCCCCAAACATTGCAGAAGGTGCCCTGTCCCTGGACACTAAATGCCGGGAGAGCCCCCAGTCATTGAGACAACCTGCAATTTTCCAAACACATTTCCAAACACCTGACTGGACAGCATTCTGGGCAGCTGAACTAGAATATCAGGAAATTTAGGTCTTTGGCCTTGAGGCATTCCAGAGGAACTTAAAGACCAGGGCATTAAGGAATTGAGTGTTGGAGGGCTGGAGATAGGGAGTATGGGAGAGTTGGGGGGGGATGGGACCAGGGGCTTGGGAATTGGAGGCACTGAGATGGCATAGTGGTGTGAGAAATTAGTGATAAGGGGTAGGTAAGTCTAAGGATCTGGTCTAAGGGTCTGGGGAACCGATGGCCAGCAAGGATCTGGGATAGGAGGCCTGAGGAGGAGCCAGCAGACTCTGAATTGGATAGAACAGAGGCATGGAGCATTAAATGAGATAGCTGGGGAGAGAGAAAGACTCCCAAGGACTAAGAACAACGGGGAATTTGAGGCTAGGGATTGTGTCTCAAAGCCTAGACTCTCTCTAGGCCTGGGGTAGGAGTCCAAAGCTTGACTGTGGGGAGGACAGGCTACCAGAATGGAACTTCCAGAACAAACTACAAAGCTCACCCATCTCTCTCTCACCAACCCCAGGAGAGCAAAGACTCGTTGGAAGTTGAGACTTTTAACATCTCCAACTCCTTTGAGGACCTGGATGCCCAGGTGAAGAGTGAGGCTGGCTTCTATCCAGAGGATGCCATAGACTCAAAGGAGACAGCCAAATTCATGAAGATCCGCCAGGTCCCAGTCTCCCGATATTCACTCTCCACACAGAAGATGTTTGAGATGAAGACCAAGCTGCGTTGCTCCTGTGAGGGGTGTTCCTTGGGGGAGTGGAGGGAAGGAAGACTGTGTACCTGGGACTTCAGGTCAAGGTATGGGGACCTTAAACATCCCTTTTCCCTTCCTGCAGATGTGGTGAACAAGGCCATGTTCAGCTGCCAACGCTGGTTTGACAGAAAGCATGAGCAATGTATGCAACGCATCTGGGTCCCACTCCTCAACCACCTGCTCTGCCTCCCCATGAAGTTCAAGTTCCTCTGTAGCATCACCAAGGGTGGGGAGCACCAGGGTTGGGGTAGTTGGGTCATTGGAGACAGTGGGTAGTTATACACCAGGAAAGCAACCAAACAGAGGGTTTGGATTCTTTGAAGACACCCTCACTCTCAGAGTCCAGCTCCTCCATTGACTTTTGTGACCCAGAGTAAGTTAAAGCCAAGCTCTGAACTTCATCTCTCCATTTGAAAGATGTGCATAATTGTAGCACTTACATTATTAGGGGATTTTGAGGATTTAAGAGAATAGTTCATGTGAAGCAGGTAACAGAGCTGGCACGCAGAGAAATTGCGCTACAAATGCTGTCTATCATTAGTATTTGTTATGGTTATGGACAAGTACAAACATTGGGAAATTAGGCCTCGGTCCTTGGAGGAAGAATCCAAGGACAGCAGAGATGGGGGAGAATCGGTGCAGAGAAACAAAAGCACAGAATGTAGAGAGAGACTCACAGGAGGAGGAAGCAGGTTAGTTGGGTCAGGTGTGATAGCCAGGTCGGAAGGCCCCTGACCTGGCTCTACTGCCCACTAGTAATGGAAGTCTGGTGTCGTAACCGCATCCCAGTGGAAGGCAACTTTGGACAGACCTACGACTCCCTCAACCAGTCTGTTCATACACTGACTGGGGAATTTTCAGCCAATATTAACCTAAAGGTAAGGGCTGGGGGCATGTAGGGAAAGTAAGGAGTGGGAAGAGGCCATTGGGGAATAGAGCAGGAACTGAGGCAAAGCAAAACAGGTGACAGGAAACAGGTGACTGGTGTGAGGGAGAGGGGCAAGGAGGGAGTAGTACTGAAGTCAGTGTTGGTGTTGGGAGAAGGACGGTGCTGAGAGGGAAGACTGTGTGGATTTGGCTTTGGTACAAAATGGTCAGCCAGGTACAGATAGTATCAGCTGATACAGGTGGAGGGGAACAAGACTGTGTCAAGGAGGGTGGTAAGCAGAAAGAGGTGACAATTCCTGAAGACAAGGAAGATCAAAGTGATGTGAGCTGAACTCCATGAAGAGGCTAGGTCTGGGCCTGGTGGGCGGCACAGGCTGAGTTTGCCCCTGTGCTGCACCTCCACCAGCAAGAGAAGCAGGCTGGAGTGCTGGGCCTCAACACCAGCTGGGAGCACGTGAGCACGGAGACTCGGAACTATGTGCGCACACAGGAGGCCCGGCTGGAGTGGACCTTGGGGCTGTTTCAGGTGCTGCTCTCCTGCACCTTCCTGCTGGTCTTATATGCGTAAGCCATGAGTCCCCCACCCCAGCAGTCCCTGCTCCCTTCCTGCCCAGAGGAAAGCTCCCAGAATGAAACTGTAGAGCCCACTCGTACTCAGAATCCAAATGTGTGCTTTAAAATGTGGCCTTTTTATTAAGTGGGGGTCATTGTTTACACAAAATTAATAAGAAAATGTGAACATTTTGTAAAAAGAAATGTTATCCAAGTTTCTGCCACCTTGAAAAGGCAGCAGTCTTCATGTATCTACCTCCCTCTAGCTTTTATCCCAACGCTGACTTTTTTTTTTCACATTTAGCTTTGACTTTTGATTTTTTTTCTTGCCCTTCATATTCCCCTTGGCTCTGACTTTGTGCCATTTTTATCGTTCAACTTTGCTTTCATTTTCTCCCGCCTGCTGCGTTGGCAGCGACTTTCTCTTCGTTTGGACCAAAGTCCTCAACCCCACCCAGTATGCGTCCAGCTGGGCTGCCCTAGTCCTTGCTCTCAAACCCCTGCTGACCTCTGGACCCTCTACCTCCTGTCTCCACCCCAGATGTCTGAGCTGGGTAGGGACTCTTGCTTTGTCGGATCTCATTAGTGGGGTCTGGAGTAAATGCCAGTTATGTGTGTATGTAGGAGGATAAAGATGAATGAGTCCTAGACCTGCCCTCAAGAAGCTCATGGTCTAGTTGGGGAGGCAAGAGCAAACAAACAAACAAAATACTAGTTGCTATCAAGTCAATTCTGACTCATGGAGTGCACTCCATAGGGTTTTCAAGGCTGTGTCACCTTTTAGAAGAGATCACCAGGCCTTTCTTATGAGGTACCTTTTAGTAGGTTCAAACTCCCAACCTGCTGGTTAGTAGTCAAGTGCTCAACTGTTTTTGCCACCCATGGTACTGGAAGCAAGAGCGTCCCCTCAAAACAGAAAGGCTCAAGGACCATACTATGAGTTGGCTATGGAGACAGGTGTGAGCCGAGGAGGGGCTTCCAGGATCAGTGCTCCTGGAAGGGGTGTAGCTGGGCTACCAAAGACTGCAATGGGGAGCCATGGTCAGGAATAGGAAAGGAGTTCGCTTAGGCACAGATCCTGGCATCTGTCGAGTGTAGAGGGCAGAGCCTGGGGTGCAAGACTGGGCTGAAGAGGTCACATCCAGAACAGTTCAGGAGAGCCTGAACTGGGGTGGTCACAGGATGAATTGGGGCAGGTGGGAGACAGGAAGGCCAGGCTTGGTCAGAGGTTAGGGAGCCTGGGTGTGGTGGGGTGTGGCAAGAAGGTGGCCTGAGATATAGGGAGGAAGAGGAAAGGTGTGGCAGGTCTCAGAGTCAGTCAGCTTGGGAAGGGAATAAAGGAGGCACTGAGTCAAAAGTCACTTCCAGGCTTTCAGCCTCCAGGCCACATACTGAAGAACCAGAGCTGGCCAGTGGGTGGGGCCAGGGTTCAGGAGGCCCAGGGGGAACAGGAGTAGGTCTCTCCACAAGGGGGCACTCACAGTCTATGTTTGCATTTATAGTTAGTTCTCTCTGAAAGGCAAAGATGTATTTTACTGGGTCCCAGAACCAATAGCTTTGGAAGTTGAATTTCACAGCTTACATAGTGTATTTCATGTACTTTTACAGTTCTAAACACACTTCCAACAATTGACATTTATTCTCTAGGAAACCGAAGCATTATGTCAAGACTTCGGGAGATACTTAGAAGACAGCTACACACACACACACACACACACACACACACACACACACACACACAAAACACTGTAGTGCTCAAGGGAAGCCAGGGATGAGCAGAGATCTATCAGAAGAGAGGGGAATTTGTGGCTGGGGATGAGTTTTGCTAGGTGTCACCTCCAGAAGAAATTTTGCAGTCTCAGCTGAAAGTAGGGACTCAAGAGGTGAATGTGGGAGTCCCAATGGGCTAGGTGATTCCTACAACTTTGACAGGTTGTCCCGTGCTGTGCCTTTGCTCCTGCTCTTTCCTCTGCTTGATGTTCACCCTGTAAGGCCCATACCTGTGAAGGTTTCCCCTACCTCACACACACACCCTCAGCACTTATTCCCAACCCCAGACAGGTTGGCCACACCCTCCTCTGAGCTCTCATCAAGCTTTCACTCTCCCCTAGGATGGCTTCTTAGTTGTGCAGGTGTGTGACTTCCACTAGACTACGCTGCTGGAGGGCAACTTTCTCACTATCCCTCCTCCAGGGCACAGTGCCTAGGCCCTAAATGGTGCTTAGTGATGATCATTGGCTAGTCATTGAGTGACTGACCTTGGAAGCCCCTCCTCATGTACCATGGTTGAGGGTGGATGGAAGACAACCTGAGGGAGGAGATGGAGACATCTTTGTCCACCCATACACAGGTCATTCTCCTACATGGACAACTATAACCAGGACATTCGCTTTGACAACATCTACATCAGCACCTACTTCTGTCAGATCGATGAACGTAGGAAGACGCTAGTGAGTGGGCACAGCCTGCCCCAGAGTACCCTGCTACATGGCCTGTGTGGGCTTCATGCTTCACGAGGGCAGAGGAAAGAGGCAGAGAGCTATTGGGTTCCTCATTGTGTGAACATTTTTTTTTTCCAGGGCAAACGAACTTTGCTGCCGCTCCGCAAAGCTGAGGAGAAAACGGTCATCTTTCCCTGCAAGCCCCTGATCCAGGCCTCAGAAATGAAAAATGTGGTGAGGATGGCATATGGGGAGGGCAAAAGGCATCAGAGTACCCCAGGTAGCAGGCAGTGCTCCTCAGTCCCACCTCACCTGTTGCTTGAGCAGGTAAGGGAGCTCCTGGAGTCGGTGCCTGTTCTGCTGCTATATCTGGTACTGTGTGGACTGGACTGGACTCTCTACTCCATCTTCAACACCATCCGCCACCACTCCTTCCTGCAGTACTCCTTCCGCAGTGAGCACATCCCCCACTCTTGTCCAAGTCAGCCCCCAAAAGAAACCCCCCGACACACAAATCACAACCCCTGTGCACTCACCTCACCCCAGTTCTCCCAATTTTGTCTCCTCTCTGCTGCATCTGCTCCCCTTCTCTCACTCAGCTCCTAGACTCAACTCCTTAGAGTTAAATCTCAACATGACAGCTGTTGCTACATCTACAACAGGGAGGGATTAGGTTCCTTGAATGATAGAAAGTCCAGTGCAGTTGAGGAGGATTTCTTTGCCTGAACCCCTCTCCTACACTCAGCCCCCATCCTGTCTCACCAGTTTAACCTCAACTTTTTCTGGATCCCCCTCACCTATGACTACACTCCTGACCTCAGGCAGTCATAAACTGGAGGTGAAGGTGGAAGGAGACTCTATGCTTGCCCGGCTTCTTCGGAAAACCATTGGGGCCCTGAATACCTCCTCAGAGACTGCAGTGGAATCCAACAACATGCGTAAGTGATGCCAGAAGTCTGGATTAGGGCTGAGATATGGGTCAGGGCATGGGGGTGAGTAGAGGTCAAAAGAGTCCAAGGTAAATAGTTGGGAGACTGGGCTTGAGTGTGGAGAGATGAACATCAGTGGGCGTGGGTTGGGTAAATCAGAGGGCTGGCAAGCTTGAAGAGTGGAAGATGACCCCTTGGGTCAGAATAGTCTGGGTGCTGGAGCCAGGGGTCAGAAGATTGGGGTTCTGGTCTTCTGGTGCAGTACTGCCCAGTAGGACTTTCTGTCATAATACTTATGTGCTAGATCTGCACCACGTTAAGCAAATAGCCTCATGTACCTTGTTGTTGTTAGGTGCCATCGAGTTGGTACTGACTCATAGCAACCCTGTGCACAACAGACCCTATACCTGGCCCTGCACCAACCTCACAAACATGTGCCTAGTGACTATCACAGCTGGAGGGTGAAGGGCAGGCCCAAGAGTGGATTACCCAATAAGTAAGCCTGGGCATTCTTGTGTTTACTTACTAATCTGTAGTAAGCAATTTCACATGGGTTTCACCACATCTTTAATCAAAGATGGGAAATTAAACCCATGCGAAACTGCTCAATACAAATAAACCCTTGCTTACCTTGATTCCTGGGTACTCTGTCCCTGTCAGGTATTATAAGTTTGAAAAAAGGCTTTGATTTTGTAGGAAGTTACTGTGGGGCTGGAGGAGAGATATGCTAGCCATACCTAGAAGTAGAATCTTTGATATGTGTTCTTTTTAAAAAAGTATAATTGTGTACTACAGATTTCTAAGTAAGCACAAGTAAGTCTGTGCTTACCTTGATTGCTGGGTAACCTGACACTGGGCAGGCAGGAGGACAGCAGGGAAATCAGAAGCCAAACCTCCACATCTCACTCAGGCGGGAAGTCTATATGGATTGCCCTGTCTGCCCTGTCTGTGGACTGGCCCTGACCAGATCCCTAACAGGCCTGCTTCCCACTCCCAGCCTGCCTGCCCCAACCGGAGAGCATGGCTGCGAAGGACTACTTCAGGACTGCACTACCGATCGGCCTGCTAGTGTGTCTCTGCCTGCTCCAGGCTTTTGGCTACCGGCTACGTAGGGTCATCGCAGCCTTCTACTTCCCCAAGGTGTGCCGCTTCTCAGACCTCTCCACCCCTACACACACACACACACACACACACACCAACACCCAACTCCCTATCAACGCCATCCTCGGGGAGTGTCCTTTTCTCTGTACTGTCAACTATCATTGATCCCCTTTTCCTTGTCTTCAGCGAGAGAAGAAGCGGATCTTGTTCTTCTACAATGACCTACTGAGGAAGAGAGCAGCTTTCACCAAGCTAAGGAGGGCCACCATTGTGAGGAGGGCCCAAGAACAGAGGGCTCCAGTAAGTCCAGACCTTTGCTCTTGCAGCTCCCAGTCAACCTAGAGAGTTTTAGGAGAGGGGACATCTCCTTTTAGTTCACTTAACACTCAGTAGAGGTCCCAGGCCTATTCAAGGTCAGTGAGCTTTGATGTGATGCAAGCTAAGGGGTCCTGGTCATCCAGTCCCAGGAGGCCATGATTATGTTCCTGTCTGTACTCTACGACCTAGCCTAGCCGGATATACTCATCAGACCACTGGGCAGCAGGCAGACAAGAAGAATCAGGCTGATTCAGTCTGGTCAGAGGACAACAAAAGGGACTCCAGAAATAATAGACCACAGGTGCTCAAAGAGGGCTCAGAGCAGTTCAGAGGAGGTGGAAAGAGAGCAAGGTGGACTGGAGATCAGGAAAGCTCAATATACAAACTAAGAGCAAAAGAGTTGAAAAGTCAGGTTCCTTCTAGTCCACACTTCTTCAATTAGACTGAGGTTCTCACTGGACCTCAGTTTCTTGCTCTGAAGAATGAGTAGGTTGGACAGATCTGCCAAGCCTGCTCATTAGAGAGCAGTATGTGTGTCAGGCTTTGGCATCAGAGAACCTGGGTTAGAATACTGGTTCCTCTCCTTTGTACAATGATAGCTATGTGACCTTGCATGTTATTTAACTTTTGTACCTTGGTTTTCCCCTTCTGTATAATGGAGTTAAGTACTCCATCTGGTTGTTGCAAGGAGTTCATATATATTAAGGAGTCTCACAATACTGGTGTGTAGCAAGTATTATTTGTGTGTTTGTTGTTACTGTGTGACCTTGGGCAAGTGTCCAGTTCTTCAAGTATCAGTTTTCTCATCTGATAGAGATGATGATAATAATATCTGTCTTAAATGAGTATTGTTTGTATTGAGTTTATTTCGTTACAGTTCTTAGCACACAGGGCCCAACAGTGTGAACAGAACAATGAATGGCAGCCATTCTTATTTAATACACCCTAACAAAACTCCTAAGAGTGAGAGACTGTGTTTTGTTCACCTTTTGCTTTGGTGCTTAGATCTTAAAAATCCTCATCAGTACACTGTAGGGCAGGAATAAATGTATAATGAAAAAAACCAAACATGTTATGACCCGGTTCTGAAATGAGCTGCATTTTCATAGACAGATGGAAATGTGAAGGACGTTCATTTCAGGATGAGGGAAAAGGAAGTGCAAAGACTCAAAGACCAAAAGGAATGGCAAAAGCCAGGGATAGTCTAGGAAGAAAATGACACAGAAGAGGCAGCATTTAAAGAGGAATGTTGGTTGGTTGGTTATGTGCCGTGGAGTTGGTTCCGACCCATAACAACCCTGTACACGGTTTCCGAGGCTGTAAATCTTTTACAGGAGCAGAAAGTCTCATTTTTCTCTGGTGGAACAGCTGGTAGTTTCGAACTGCTGACCTTGTGGTTTGCTGGGTGGAACAAAAGGAATTCCTGAGCAGTGCAAAGGATTAAGTGCTCAGTTACTAACTGAAAGGTTGGTGGTTTGAAGCCACCTAGGAGTGCCTCGGAAGAAAGACCACAAACTGAAAACCCAGTGGAGTGCTGTTCAACTCTACACACGTGGGTGCCTGACAGGAATCAGAATCCACTAGTAGCAATTGGTTGTTGTTTTAAGGTGGAAGAGGCTAGAAGGGAACCAGATTATGGATGGCTCTAAAGGCCAAACCCAGGAGTTCTGCCTCTGCTTTTGTCTGCCAAGGCAGTCCCCTTCCCCCCCCCCCCCAAACAAGTTTCTGGGACAAAAGAATGAATGACTAGATAAGGTAGAAAAGAATGGAACCAAGGCAGTCCCCTTCCCACCACCCCCCCCCCCCCAAACAAGTTTCTGGGACAAAAGAATGAATGACTAGATAAGGTAGAAAAGAATGTCTGGGTGATGGGGGCTGGGGGAACATAATGACCCAAGCTTGTGATTGAAATCAGTGTACCTGGGTCTAATCCATTGGATTGTTTACTAGCTGCTTGCCCTTTGAGAAAGTCATTTAATCTTTTTGAGATTCACCTTTCCCATCTGTAAAGTGGGGTTAACAATAGTGATAATCTTATCTGGCCTACTCATTTCTCAACCTGACGGTGAGAACCACGTAAGATTGATTTATAGGAAAGTGTAAATGATAGTTGTTGCTGGAAGAGTCCGGAGGAGACTGCATCCTCCCCACTCTCCCACGTGAACAGAGTTGAAGAGGGGACACTATAGAACCCTTGTCCTTACAGCCCTTCCCCGTCAGGGGGTCTTCTTTTATCACCCTAGTCTTCTCCAACATGTGGGTACTGTCATGCCTTGAGATTTCTGTAAAGGAGCGCTGTCCAAACCGCCTAGCATCTCTTAACTGGTTTGCTCCCCAACGGATCTAAGACCTCCTCTCTTCCCAACAGCGCCACCACTTGGTTGACATCTTGTACCGCCGCTGCCCCCTCCTGCGCCACTGGCTGCGTCGGCGATGTGTGGTGTGCTTAGCACTTGAGACGCCCGAGTCCCACGTGTGCTCAACGCCGGGCTGCGAGACCGTGTACTGTCAGTCGTGTTGGGTCGACATGCGGCAGCAATGCCCAGTCTGCACACCCCGTGAGGAGCTCTCTTCCTCCGACTTCAGCGACAGTAACGACGATGCTACCTACGCAGAGTGAAGGGGCATGCCGCCCACTCTTCTAGCCTGCTCCTTTCTGTTTAATAAAAACCTTTGTACACTCCTGCTGTCAACGCTTCGGGGGTCCAGGGTGAGCCAGAAGCCGCCTTAGCCGGTAGTTGAGAGAGCTGGCCAGCCTGATGCCCAAGGAGCAGGGTTGCGGAGGTGAAGCTGGGGAGCAGCAAAGCTACTAGGGAGGGGCTAGGACCTGGGGACGGATGGGGCATGAGTGACGCCCAAGCCAGTCGGACCGGGCCTCGGCTTGGAATCCCGGTTCTCACCCTGCGTAGTTGCCGAAGGATTAGTGGCTGAGCAGCACAGCGCAGGAGGAGCCCGCCTTGTGCAAGGAATCGTAGTTAGGAATTCAGCGTGGTGGGGGCGGGGCCTAGACGGGGCGGAGCCTGACACCAGGTCCGGCAGGAGGGGGTTGGGGCGGGGCCTGAGGGTTGCGCTGTGGCACGGGGTGAGCCCAGCAGACCCGGCAGCCACAGCCACCGCTCTGCAACGCGCTGCTCCGCACCTGCTGCCCTAGCTTAGCCCCAGGCGACGCTGTCATGAGACTGGCGCTGCTCTGGGCGCTGGGGCTCCTGGGTGCAGGCAGCCCTCTGCCCTCTCGGCTCCTCCCAAATATAGGTGAGTCCCGACCAGGAGTGGGCCGGGGACAGACTGAAAGGAGGTGCGCGAAGTCGGAAGGCACTGGGTACTCGGATCAGCTAGAGACCCTGGGAGAGCCGGGCCAGAACGCAGCCCGTTGGTTGTCCCGGCCTGAGGGACCAGCGACTTAATGATGAAAGGGAGGAGGGAGGATGTAAGTTTATCTGCGTGAGCGCGGCGGAATTTTCAGAGCCCGGTACCAGGCACCAAAGGGCCTGGCCCAGTGCCCCTCACGATCGTACGAGTTGGTCACTGCTTCCCAGAATTGGCATCTGTGCTCCTCTGGGGCCTAGCTGAACGTTCCACCCGGTGCCAGGGTGCCGAGAGGATACGACTCGCAGGGTTTGGCGAAGAGAATTCTTCCCGGACCCTCATCTCAGGCCTGGGCGGCCAGGAGCCGCTCATCACTCTGAGGCTAATGCCACCGGAAAGAAGGCTGGCTGAGCGGGAGTGGGCCCAGGAGGAGCCTGGAGAGGAGAAAAATTGGCCAGGAAAGAGGCTGGGACACCAGCTCCTCCTTTGGAACTTTCACTTCCCGCTGGTGTCTTGGGCCGGGGACCCAGAGAGCAGGCGGGGGTGGAGTGTCCGGAGGAGAGAGGGCCATTGTGGGGAGGGGAGGGGGTGTCGCCGGGAGGAAGCGGAGGCTGTGGGGAGCGGGTGTGCCGGACTGGGCATGAGGGGTGTTTAGGGAGGTGGGAGTGTTTGCTCTGCTCACCCAGAGAAGGGCGTTCCCGGCCTCCGAAGTGAGGGAAGGGGAGGGTGAGTGGGCACCCAGCCACTAGCCCAGTCCGGAGAGAAGGCGTTCCTTGGGGGGATTGGGAGAGAGTGGGAACAGGCGGAGGGTCCCTGTGAGAAACTAGGATTGGCCTGAAGGGGACAGGGAGGGACCACTGGCTGAGCTTCTTTTTCTGAGGACTGTGTGGATGAGTTGGTGGGTTGAAAGAGATTAAGTTGGAGAGAAGCCCCCTCCTCCATCTCTGTTCTCAAAGTTCCAGCGTGCTGTGCAGGGAACCTTCAGACAGGCATAGAATGTGTTGGGGGCTGGGTGGGTCCGAGGGCACCAGTCACCCCCAGCCCTGGTGTTGATGTTCTCAGCACTCCTGGGGGTGTTCTGGGGACCCTGCAGGTGGCACCAAGGAGGAGGAGAAGGCCATGAGTAATCCCTTGGAGCCCCAGTTCCTTCAGGACAGCCTCATGCTTCAGGTGAGCCTCACCTCACTAATCAATCCCAAAATACCACTCACCTACCCCCAGTTAGGTGTCTCAAGGCCAAACAGTGGCTGTGGAGCAAGTGAGGGGACCCCATTTCATTCATTCTAGCTCTGGATCATTCTCTCACTCTGCTCCAGCACCTGGCTTCACTTATTTCCCCCTCCCCTCTGCAGACACACATCTGTCTGCTTCACCCAACCCATCCATCTCCACTGGGGGGACGGACACACTCCTTTCTTGGAGAGGGTGAGGACCTCACCACCCAGCCCCCCCACCATCCCTAATTCTAAAGCTGAGTCAGAGGAAGGGCTGAGGCCTGCACTGGGTCCTCCACGATGCTTCCTCTCTGGGCAGGAAGCCGAGAAGGGGCGGCTCAGATACCTTCCTTGACCTCCCCACACAAGCCCCCAGAACAATGCCCCAGACCAGGCAGGGCTTCCTGGCCCCTCCCTCAGAACTCCCCCCACCCCAAGTGATTTAATCATTAATGCTATCCTAAGAGCATGAGGTTTTCTGTTAGAGCGGGTAGGAGTTGTGGGCAGGGCCAGGGAGGTGACATGTCCTCTGGTGCCTATAGACCAGTCTTCCTGAGGCCCTTCGGATCAAATTGGAGCTGGACGGTGAGAGTCATATTCTGGAGCTGCTACAGAATAGGTAATAATGATGGTAGTAATAATAACATGACTAACAACATAGATAGCACTTATTAGGTGTCCCATATTAAGTGCTTTAATGAGCCCTGGTAGCATAGTGGATTACAAACTGGGTGGCTAACTACAAGGTCAGTAGTTTGAATCTGATCTTGTGGTTAGATAAGACTTTCTGCACAAGTACAGATTTACAGCCTTGGAAACCCTATACAGGGTCGATATGAGTCAAAACCAGCTCAGTGGCACATAACCACCACCACTAAGTGCTTAACGCATTGAATTCTCATAAGTAACCTATTGTTATTATTGTTAAGTGCCATTGAGTTGGTTCCGAGACCCAAAGTGACCCTGTATAGGGTTTCCGAGGAGTGGTTGGTGAGCTTGAATCACCAACTTTGTAGTTTAAACTGTCTTTGCAGTCCAGCGCATTAACCCACAGCACTACGCCAACTAAGCTATTAGAGTATAGGTACTACGTATTGCTATTATATTATTATTATTGTCCTCATTTTATATATGAAGAAGAGAAAGCACAGAGAAGTTTAAAAAATTTGCCCAAGATCACCATAGTTGTTATTGTGGTTAAAACCAGACTGGAGCCCAGGTAGCCTAGAGAACCAGTCTGTGGCCCAGTCACTACCTGCTCCTGCTCTTGGGGGAAGTGGAAAGGCTGAGGGTTGCCTGTTTCCAAGCCTGTCACTGCACCACCCTGGGAGGCAGCTCTGACACTGTCCTCCTTTCTCTTCATTCATAGGGATCTGGTCCCAAGCCGCCCAACCTTGGTGTGGTACCAGCCTGATGGCACAAGGGTGGTCAGTGAGGGACATACTCTGGTGAGTCAGACCACCTTGTGTTCTGTTCCTGGCTTGAAGAAAGCAAAGGGGGGCGCTATCCCTGGAGGATGTGGGAAGACAATGTATAGTTTCATCCACACATTAGACTCCTGGGTTCAAATCATGGCCTAGTCTTTGAGTTGGCATTAATGTTGCTTCTCTATTATAGGAAAATTGCTGCTACCAGGGAAGCGTGCAAGGCCATGCAGGCTCCTGGGTCTCCCTCTGCACCTGCTCAGGTCTCAGGTATAGTGGATGGATCCCTGAAGGTGGAGAGAAGCCATCAGGCATGGAGTTGAAAGGCTCACTGACTTCCTACATCTTTCCCTAGGGGTTTGGTGGTCCTGTCCCCAGAGAGAAGCTACACTCTGGAGCTGGGGCCTGGGGACCTTCAGGGTCTTCCCATTATCTACCGGATCCAAGATCTCCTCCTGCCAGGCCACACCTGTGCCCTGAGCTTGGGTGTCTCTGTGCCCATGCAGGCTCCACCAGAGCATCCCTGGAGACAGCACCACAAGCGCCGGGTGAGAATAAATGGCAGGAAATGGGTTTCGGGTGTACAGAGGGCTAAGCCTTGGACCCTCAGAGCTGTCTGTTAAAAGTAATAACAGTTCCTGCTAACAGAAAAGTTTTCACATGCTAGGCACTTTGTGAAGATTATTTCATATACTCTTCCCAGAAACTCCAGGAAGTAGGTACTATCAAAAGCTCTATTTAACAATGAGGAAACCAGCTCAAAGAGGTTAAATGACTTGTCCAAGGGCACACAGCTAATACATCCAGAATTCGGACATAGGTTGTTGCTGCTGTTAGGTGCCATTGAGTGGGCTCCGACTTACAGCAACCCTATGCACAACAGAATGAAACACTTCCAGGTCCTGCGCCATGCTCACAATCGTCCTCATGTTTGAGCCTGTCATTGCCACCACTGTGTCAATCCATTTCCTTGAGTAACTCCCTTTTTTCTCTGACCCTCTACTTTAGCAAGCATGATGTCCTTTTCCAGGGACTTGTCCCTCCCAATAATATGTCCAAAGTAAGTGAGACAAAGTCCCACCATACTCACTACTAAGGAGTATTCTGGCTGTACTTCTTCCAGGGCAGATTTGTTTGTTCTTCTGGCAGTCCATTGTACTTTCAATATTCTTTGCCAACACCATTAACTCAAATGCATCCATTCTTCTCCAGCCTTCCTTATTCATTGCCTAGCGTTCACATGCATATGAGGTAACTGAAAATACCCAGGTTTGGGGAGGCATACCTTAGTCCTCCAAGTGACATCTTTGCTCTTGAATACTTTAAAGATGTCTTTTGCAGCAGATTTGCCCCAGGTAATGTGCCACTTGATTTTTTGCTGCAGCTTCCATGAGCATTGATTGTGGATCCAAGTAAAATGAAATCCTTGACAATTTAAATCTTTTCTCCATTTATCATGATGTTGTTTATTGGTCCAGTTGTGAGGATTTTTGTTTTCTTTACAATGAGTTGTAATCCATACTGCAGTCTTTGATTTTCATCAGGAAGTCCCTCAAGTCCTCTTCCCTTCCAGCAAGATTGTGTCATCTACATATTACAGTTATTTAACAAACCCTCCTCTAATCCTGATGCCACAGTCTTCTTCATATAATCCAGCTTCTTGAATTATTTGCTCAGCATACAGAGTGAATAAGTATGATGAAAGGTTATAACCTTAATGCACACCTTTCCTGATTTTAAACCATTCAATATCCCCTTGGTCTATTAGAACGACTGTCCTTTGTTCTATGTGCAAGTTCTGCATGAGAACAATTAAGTGTTCTGGAATTCCTATTTTAATGTTTTCCATAGTTTGTTATGATCCACATAGTTGGATGCCTTTATTTGGTCTATAAAATACAAGTAAATATCTTCCTGGTATTCTCTGCTTTCAGCCAAAGTCCAGCTGATGTCAGCAATAATATCCCTCTTTCTATGTCCCCTTCTGAATCCAACTTGAATTTCTGCAAGCATCCTATGCATGTGTTGCTATAACCATTTTTGAATTGTTGCTGTTATTTGTCTAGTTGGCTCCAACTCATAGCAACCCTGTATAGGGTTTCTGAGGAGCAGCTGGTCAGCTTGAACTGCTGACTTTCAGTTCATTTTTTAATTATCTGCAGGAAAATTTTACTTGCATGTGATATTAACAATATTGTTAGATCATTTCTACATTCTGTTGGGTTACCTTTCTTTGAAATGGGCACAAATATGGATATCTTCCAGTTGGTCTGCCAGGTGGCTGTCTTCCAAATTTCTTGGCATAGACTAGTGAGTGCTTCCAGCACTGCATCAGTTTGTTGAGACATTTCAGTTGGTATTCCCTCAATTCCTGGACATTGATTTTTACCAATGCCTTCAATGCAGTTTGGACTTCTTCCTTCAATATCATCAGTTCTTGATCATATGCTACCTTCTGAAATGATTATTTTTGATTCAGTGACTTTGTATAGTCCTTCCATCTTCTTTTGATTTTGCCCATTGAATATTCAATATTTTGTGCATTGAATCCTTCAATATTACAGCTTGAGTTTTTCCTTCAGTTATTTCAGCTTGAGAAATGGTGAGCATGTTCTTCCCTTTCATTTTACTAACTCCAGGGCTTTGTATACTTCATTATAATACTTTTCTTTGTCTGTTCAAGCTGATCTTTGAAATTTTCTGTTCAGCTCTTTTACTTTATCCTTTCTTCCATTCACTTTAGCTATGCTACATTCAAGAGCAAGTTTCAGAGTTTCTTCTGATACCCATTAGATCTTTTCTTTCTCTTGTATCTTTTTCATGATCTCTTGTTTTCTTCCTATGTGATATTCTTGATGTCATCCCACAAGTCCTCTGATTTTCGGTCATTAGTGTCTAATGCATCAAATCTGTTCTTGAGATGGTCTCTAAATTCAGATGGGATATGTTCAGGTCATATTTTGACTCTTGTGGACTTGTTTTTATTTTATTCAGCTTCAGCCTGAACTTGCATATGAGCAGTTGATGGACAGTTCAAAATAAGGCCCCTGGCCTTATTTTGACTGATGATTGACTTCTCACAAACATAGTCATTTTGATTTCTGTGTATTCCAATGACAAGGTTCTTGTGTATAGTCATTGTTTATGCTGTTGAAAGATATTTGCAATGACAAAGTCGTTAATCTTGCAATATTCCATTTTGCAATTTCCAGTGTCATTTCTATCACCAAGGCCACATTTTCCAACTACCAATCTCTCCTCTTTGTTTCCAGTTTTCTCATTCCACTCTCTTGTTGTTATGTGCCATCGAGTAGGTTCTGACTCATAGCAACCCTATGTACAACAGAAGGAAACACCGCCTGGTCCTGTGCCATCCTCACAATTGCTGCTACACCATTGTTGTGGCCACTGTGCCAATCCATCTCACTGGGGGTCTTCCTTTTTTTCACTGTCCCTCCACTTTACCAAGCATGATGTCCTGCTCCAGGGACTGGTCCTACCTGATAGCTTGTCCAAAGTATGAGAGACCAAGTCTGACCATCTTGGCTAATAAGGAGCATTCTGGTTATACTTCTTTCAACACAGATTTGTTTGTTCTTCTGGTAGTCTATGGTATCTTCAATATTCTTCTCCATAACTCAAATGCATCAATTCTTTTATGGTCTTCTTTATTCATTGTCCAACTTTCACATTCATCTGAAGCTATTTATTGAACATACCATGGCTTGGGTCAGGCGCACTTTAGTCCTCAAACTGACATCTTTGCTCTTGAACACTTTAAAGAGGTCTTGTGCGGCAGATTTGCTTCATGCAATACATCATTTGATTTCTTGACTGCTACTTCCTTGAGTGTTGATGGTGGATCCCAATAAAATGAAGTCTTTGACACTTCAGTTTGTTTTCCATTTAACATGATGTTATTTATTGGCCCAGTTGTGAATGTTCTTGTTTTCTTTACATTGAGGTGCAACCTATATTGAAGGCTGTGGTCTTTGAGCTTCATCAATAAGTATTTAAAAGTCTCTTTGCTTTCAGCAAGCAAGGTTATATCATCTACATAGCATAGGTTGTTAATGAGCCTTCTTCCAATCCTGATGCCATGTTCTTCTTCATATAATCCAGCTTCTCAGATTATTGTCTCAGCATACAGATTGAGTAAGTATGGTGAAATAATACAACACTGGCACAATCCTTTCCTGATTTTAAACCATTCAATGTCCCTTGGTTCTGTTCGAGTGACTGCCTTTTGCTCTATGTACAGGTTCTTCATGAGCACTATTAAATGTTCTGGAATACTCATTCTCTGAAGTGTACTCCATAGCTTGTCACGATCCACACTGTCGAAATCCTTTGCATAGTCAATAAAGCACAGGTAAACATGTTTCTGGTATTCTCTGCTTTCAACTAAGATCTATCTGATGTCAGCAATGATATCCCTCATTCTGTGTCCTCTTCTGAATCCAGCTTGTACCTCTGGCAGTTCCCAGTCAATGTACTGTTGCAGCCATTAAAATTATCTTTAGCAAAATTTTACTTGCATATGAGATTAATGTGATATTCTGATGATTTCTGCATGCTGTTGAATCACTTCTCTTTGGAATGGGCCCAAATATGGATCTCTTCCAATTAGTTGACCAGATAGCTGTCTTCCAAATTTCTTGGAATAGATGAGTGAGTGCTTCCAGTGCTACATCAGTTTGTTGAAAACTTTAATTTGTATTCCATTAATTCCCAGAGCCTTGTTCTTTGCCAATGCTTTCAGTATATATTGGACTTCTTCCTTCAGTACCATTGGCTCTTGTAGTTTTCTTTGCATAGGTCCCTTTGTTTTTCTCGTTACATTTATTCCTAGATATTTCATCCTTTGGGCGGCTATTGTAAATGGTATTGCTTTCCTAATGCCCTTTTCAGCCCTGTCATTATTGGTATAGAGGAATCCAACTGATTTTTGTATCTTATATCCTGCTACTTGCTGAATCTTCCAATGAGGTCTAGTAGCTTTTTTACTGAGTTTTTTTAGGTTTTCTATGCATAGGATCATATCATCTGCAAATAGAGTTTTACTTCCTCTTTGCCAATTTGGATGCCTTTAATTTCCCTATCTTGCCATATAGCTCTGGCTAAGACTTCCAGCACAATATTGAATAGGAGTGGTGACAAAGGGCATCCTTGTCTGATTCCTGTTCACAGAGGGAAGGCTTTCAGTTTCT